ATAAAATTAAAAGAAATTGATAATATACCATAGACGCCCGAGTATTCAACCTCCTCCTTTTTTTTGCGCGTTCATTCTTTTTCTTATCCAATTTCTCCAAATACATTTTGCTTGATGCCGATGAAATTGCCGAATCGGCCGAAGTATTTGGCAGTTATGAGCATGATATTTTGCGACATCACGCTTTATAGTAAGAAAAGGACCGAGAAGAAACTGTTCTCTAATTTCTTTCCATTTTTTCTTTGGATCCAGCTGGTCTTGTTTATTTAGATTTTCCACAGTGAATAAAACATCTCTCTATTATAAATATATATATATAAAATAAAAATTAATATATTTACAAAAACAAAAAATTAATTAACTATTATTATGCAAATATAGCTTTGTATAAAATTTTACGCAAAGCTATATTTGTACTAATAACAACAAATACATACCCAAAATACTCTCTACATTTCATTATTGGAACTGCTTTTCCAAACCATCATCAGTATTAGTATCACTACTACTGCTACTAGTAGAAGATAATACTAATAGTACTCTTTTATGTTCTACATATAGATATATATATAAATACATATATGATTTAACTTAATATGCAATATTTCTAATATATCTCTTGATAGGAATAAAGATGCAGATGAAGACAAAGAACTATGGCTTCTTTTTTTACTGGTTACCCAAACTCTCTGTCTACTTTGTTTTTTTAGTGTATAAGACTATACAATCAGAATTTGCAGTACTCATTTTGTAAAGAGAAATAAAAAAAAAACAAAAAAAAGTTGTAAAATAATGTAAGAGAATTTATAAGAAACAATTTAGGAAAAAAAATTTAAAAGAAACAATTTAGAAAAAGATAATTGCGAAGAAACAAGAAGAAACTCATTTTTTTTATATTTTTATGGTTTGAAAAATTATGTATTTCTTATATTTGTATTGTCAAAAAAATTACATATTTCTTTACAAATAAATGTTTTATTGTTATTAATTTGAAAAGAAACAAATATAAATATTGGAACTTTACTTTATATGTAGTCATTAAATAATTAATTTTATTATAATTGCTATCTTATATCAGATTTTTAACATATATTCATCATTAAAAAATTTATAATATTATTTGACCTTATATTATTTCATTGCAATAATATTGGGAATTTTTAAAAATTCCTGATATTAATAATTCTGATTTTTATTGATTATGTATTTTTTTGTCTGTCACAATATATTTTATACATTGAATATAAAAAAATTCAACAGAAGGAAATGTTGATATTATATAACTGATTCTTTACTGAGTGTGCAACATATAAAAAATAATTTTACAATACCAGATTATTCCACTAATATATGTTATACTTATAATCTAACACTATTTTATTATAATAAAAAACATGTATTTTTTTATATATTGCATACTGGGTAAAGGATTAGTTATGTAACATTGACATTTCCTCCTGTTAAAATTCCTGATATTAATAATTCTGATCTTATATCAGAATTTGTCTATATCTTTTTGTCTGTTATACTATATTTTATGCATTGAATATCAGGAATTTTCATTAAAAATTCCTAATATTAATATGTTGAACTTATATTAGATATTTTTATTAAAAAACTATACTTCATATTATTAATTATGAGTTATGTAATACCAGCTAATTGAACTATTAAAGATTAATTATTAAATTTAAGTTTAATATTGTTAAAGTAATATAAAATTTTGTAATATTATTAAGGGCCTTCGGCATGGTTAATTAACGCTATGCTTCACCATGATAATAAAAACCTACACCCTAAACTACAATTTAATAAACAAAACACAGTTCTAGTGTAAAACAGAATAATTGAGAACATTTTTTCGTTATCACACCTTATTACCGCAAAATATATAATCAATCAAATAAAAAATGGTTAATTTAATAAAGAGATACACAGAAATAATTTTACATGATACATGTACTATAATATATTACATTTTATCTTGTAGCTCTAGAGTCTCTACATCAATAATCGTTTTTTGAATACTATCATTAATTCTCGAATACAACTCGAGATGCTCACTACGATTAATACCCACAA